GGGTTAGGGTTACAGCGTGCTACTGTCGGCGCGCTGTTGTTGGCGCGCTTCAGCGCTCATTCGTCGGCGCGCTGTTGTTGGCGCGCTTCAGCGCTCATTCGTCGGCGCGCTGTTGTTGGCGCGCTTCAGTGCTCATTCGTCGGTGCGGTTATGTCGGCGCGGTTTTGTCACCGCGGTTTAGTCAGGCACGCTTTTGTCGTTCGCGCATTTGTGGTGGAACCTAATGTATGTTGTTGCACCATTAGTTTGGATTGGAACCTCTTCCCTAGTGCAACATAGCAAATGCCTAGTAGACAAGAAAATGTATATGATATTTAGTTATTTACTAAATTTAGCAGATAAAGCTTCTGTGCAAAACTATTTAAAAAATCTACTCATTTAATTGGGGATTATATAAGGGGATTTAATAAACTTTCTACAACAAGATATAAAATTTCCTTCAGGTCCTGTGTTTGAAATGGAATGATGTGAGATATGAAATGAGTATTTGAAATGGGAATTTGTTGAAGAATCTGAATGTCGAAAAGGTTGCTAATCTGAGGTCATTTCTTTCTGTCTGTCTTCCCTGGCATCTGTGCATGAAGCACATGGACCAATTTCCTAATATAATATAAGTAGCCAAATGCTAGTGTTTTCCTTTTCTGTAAAATCACCTCCATTTTATTGTGAAACCTATTTCACCCTTCCTTCCTCAGCTAAAACTCTCTCTTTCAAGGAATACTCACACATATTCATAAAACACAAATGCCTCCAATAGAACAGGTCTTCACAAACATATACAACATGTATGTTGTATAACATATACAACTCAGGTCAGCCAGCAAGCAATTTATAAGATGACTAATCATAAATCAAAATATTTTACTCCATGGTTTGTTGAGCAAGTCATAGTAGCCCAGTTCATGCCTGATGCTAGATTACCGTGGATAGATTCACATAACTTGCTAAACTGAAAGCAGATAAACTACTTTATGGCTTAGTATTGTGTGAGAACCTGGTCATGCTCTGTTTTCTGTAGAATGGATCTCTCTGTTCTCTGGGGGATTCTTTGGACAACACAAACTGCTGAGTATGTACCAGCTGAGTTGACTAAATACATTTCCAATATGCTGTAAGAATGGAATGAATTATTATCTGTGGTAGCTGCTGTGTTTATACAGAATGCTTTATAATGTGCAACAGTCAGTAAGGTCAGCGGTTAAAGTGTGCATTTATGAGAAGAAGTTTTCATGCAAAAGACTCTAATTGGCACTGTATTTTGGCAGGTGCGTTGATCCATAAAAGCAAGGAAATTGCTGTGTTTAGCATAATCCCAGATACCACTGTGAGAGGATTTATTAACTGCTCACAGTTGCCAGCTGAGATTAAACCAATTCACAGCCATCTATGGAAGACCTAAGATTGGATTTATATTCTTGATGGCCACTTCTAGTGCTATATGCCTTTCCTCCTTTCTAAATGCATATAATATGACATCCTGAAGGAGCTCTGGATGAGATCAGGCCAAATCAATGTGATGATATCATTACGTTTTGATCTTATTTTTCCTTCAAGAGTTCTAGGACAACTGATAATATCTTGACCTTCAAATTTATATGCAACAATCTTATATACAGGTTATGCTTTGAAAAAAAGACTTATGTAATGTAATCCACTGAGCTTTGGGTTGATGAAGACTCTATAATATTTGCACAAAATAAACTACTTTGGCAGAAGAGAGAATATAAAAGTGTTTATGTCAAAAACACATGTTCCCTATAACTTTATAATAGTTTTGTTTATGTTATTAAATTTGCCAATGAATTGCTCAATATTAAATTCGCAGCTTTCAGTTCACTTTTATATCCATTCTTCTAGATGTTACCAGTGGGGAATTAGCCTTAAATCATTGTGCAGCTGCAAGAGATACAGGACTGACCNCCTAAGGGATTATTTTGGTGAGAAAATCCTAAACAAAGAAAAAGATGAATAAGAAAAGAAGACATTGTTAAGAGATGCCCGTAAATAAGTGCTGCAGATGTGTTAAATATAAGTGTTCATAGACTAATCAACTATCCGTAAGCCAAATTCTTATTTTCTGTGGAATGCTATATGTTAAATAAATAAATACATTTCTGTGGAATCATTATTTATGCAAATGACCATTGCTCTCACTGAGATTATTTTTGTCCCCGATGATGAGGCTTATGGATGTTTGTTTTAGAATCTTAATTTATTCTTATATAAACTTACTTTGTCAATGATTAATTAGTTTAAACCACTTTTGCATCCTATAAAATATTCTGTTTCTATGTAGAAACTCTATTGTACTGTGTATTTTCTGGTAATATATTGGATTTTTTCCCCCTCCCCAGACAGTTCGGGAAGAAGAGAAAGAAATATACAGGCAGCTGATTCAAATGGTTACAGGGAAAAATCTGTCAGCTTCCAAAGCCTCTTCATTATTGTCTCTTCACCTGTGAGTCTCTGAAATATATTGAATAATCTGATTGTCTACAAGTTTTTTTCCAAAATTGCTGGCCTTTTGCTTTTGTTTTCAGGACCAGGTGTGGAGGTTCCAATAAAAAAACTACAAAAGAAACCAAAAACAAATGTATGAAACCTTTTGATGTTTGTGGCCCCTCTATGGGCAACCAGTCATCCAGTCTTCTTAGGATGCAGGAGCACCATTCTCACAAACCACTGCCACAACCAGTTTGTAGTTTTACTACCCATGTTAACTTTGATCCCAAGACCAGTACACCCATACAACAAGCAAATCTACCAGCATTGGATATGCCAACTGAAGGTAAAAGCAACTGATATACCTTGAAATACTGTGGGTTTTATTTCCTGACCCCAAACTCTTGACTTACTATTTTCTCAAGGCCATCTGCATTGTTAATTCTCAGATGCAGGTTTGTTACTTCTTCCAGCCTAAATTAACTGAATAAATCTGAATTCAGTCATTGTATGGATTCTGTTTTGGAGAAAATTATTGGTACAGAGTAATGTTAAGTCTTGCACCCTGTTTTGTTTGATCTAGGATGTGATTCAGTCATAATGCTAAATGGCAAAGACTTCAGATCTCCAGCTCCAAGGCAAGTGGGCATTCTGATTTGTAGAAACTACGATTTATTATTTGAGGGGAATAGAATTAAAAAAGAAATGGATGAAATTAATTTGTTGAGCTTAGACTGCCAAAATAAAGATAGCAAATTCATTGAGACTCCATTAATTTCAGAGGGACTTTAGCATTATTTATTTCTGATGTTGGGATTGTCCATTTGGATTTAGTTTACTTTGAATAAAACATTTTAATGATTCGGTAATTTGGGCAAATTTTGTGGTTTTATGTAATAAACCTCAAATTTTAGATTTTTTTTGTCCCCCCCCCTAGATTATGAATGTTAAAAAGTGTCTCAGACTTTTCTCCAGAAAGACTTTTGTCTTTCTTCACTGCTTTTCAATTTTGCTGTTGTTTCAGAGTTCTTCTGTAGTACATTTGCAGTACCATTTACTGAAGCATTCTGTTTCCCATGGTTTTTAAATATACAGTATCATTTAAGCAAAATGTATAACCTTTTCCCAATCACTGGCTCTGATAATGTTCTGAAATTGCTTGTACCGTATTTTTCGGAGTATAAGACGCACCAAGGTTTTGAGGCAATTTTTTAAAAAAAGTAGGTAGGTAGATAGAGGGAGAGAAAGAAAGAGAAATATGGTAGGTACGTAGATAAAGGGATAGAGAGAGAGAGAAATAGAGAGAGAGAAATACAGTAGGTAGGTAGGGAGAGAGAGTAGGTAGGTATGTAGATGTTTCCAGGTGTACTTATTCATGTGCTGGAGAAGGAAATCGCTGAGAAACCTTAAGATTTTGTTTCTGCTGGCACAGCACTTGATCAATGTAATTTTCATCAGTTGAAGAGCTTTCCAAAAGGAAAAAAAAGGGTTTTGCACTCTGCAAACCCCTGAAAAACGGTCCATTTTTCGTGAAAATGGTGAAGGGGCAGGGCTTCGGGAGGCAAAAAATGCTGCATTTGATGTATAAGACGCACCCAGATTTTCAGCCTCTTTTTAAAGAAAAAAAGGTACGTCTTATACTTTGAAAAATACAGTAAATTTTTGGTAGAAATTTTTGTTTGGTTGCCAAGTGCACAATTGGACTTAATGTACTGCTCTTGATATTTTCTTCTGTCTTAGCACTACAATTGAACTTAGCTTTAATACTTCTTATTTCCTTTTTTCCTGAAAGAAACATTAATCCTTTTACTTTCTGCTTTCCTTTCAGTACACCCTTCTTTGAGGCTGAATTGTGGATAAAAGAATTGTAAGTACATTCCATTTCTAAACACTTATTATAGTTGTTCTTCATAAACTCCTTATATAATCAGCTATTTAGCTCTTGTGTCTTTAGCTTAGTCTTTCTTAAAGCTAAATTTATCTTCTTGATTTGACTAGCAAAAAAAAAATGCTTTTGGTTTCCTTTTTCATTACTGTAAAGAAGCTAGGCAGTCTGAATTTCTATTGCTAATGCGGGAGAAAACTATATGTTAGATTCACATATCTTTGTTGTATATTACATAGGGTCACATATGATAGAATATACCAAAGGTTACGGGACTTTAATTTATCAATCTGTGGTGTCAAGACTGAAAATATTTTATAGAAATCACTGAAAAATCTGTGAGGAAGATGGGCAGTTAAGAAGCATGCTAAATAAATAAATAAATCACCTGTGAAATCCCTTTTCTACTTACATACCAATATTGAAGAGCTTTCACAAGTAAATATAGCATTCAAATCCCAGTACCAAATCTTAGTCTGTATTATTAGATCCTTTCTTGTAGAACTTGCAGTTAAATTTGGAAAGTATTTAGAAGATTGTTGCTACAATTTACCCTTCTGACTTTCTGAAGAAATGGAGTGCTGCTGTGATATTACTAGAGGGAGTGCATTCATTTTTTTCCCTCCTGTTTACTTTTCAGGGGTCTAGGAGGATACCTTAAAACTGCCTCCACATGGCCTCAATCTGACTATTTGCTACAGAATGCTACCAGTTTGATCTAGGAATTACCAATGAAATGCAAATGAAGTCCAGTGTGCAGTATGCAAGTTGCCTACCTTGAATTAAAGATGCATGTGGGTGTCCAATAGGACTGGCAATTAGGTTAGCAGACATGATACACTCACCCAGCATTCCCCATCCTATATCTCAAAGCAACCTTCCCATAAGGAAGGAGCAGAAGCTGAAAGAAATAATAAGACAAGCATAACTAAAAGTGTGGAAAAATAAATTTTCATGGCTGATAATTCTGAATATTTAGCTTATTGTGTACAAACCCCTCTCTAGAACCAGTGTATATGACTCCCGAGCCCGTGAGAGATTGCGACATATAGAGGAGCAGAAAGCTTTGGCATTGCAGCTTCAGAATCAGGTGAGAAAACTCAACATGGTTATTGTTTTTAAAAGCTCATCATTGAAATTATATCAGAGCTGAAAAAGTTGTCTGATTTTCCAGGTGCCTTTTGTCTTTGCTATGAATAACAATTGATGCAATTGGACACATAGTTTCCCTTAAAATAGACATAGTTTCCCTTAAAATAGACATCTTGCTTTACCTTTAATGCATGCTAGTTTACCCATGACCTGTTTGGTCATCGTTTCATAAGTATTTACTTCCCTAAATAGAGTAAGAGAATGATCATAGGTAACCAAAAAATTAGTGGGAGTGGAAGTGACATCTGACTTTCTGCTACCTTCCCTGTTGACTTTGCTTGTGGGAAGTAGGCAGGGAGTGTCAAAAATCATAATCACATCACCATGGCGGCACTGCAGAACAGCACATCAGTGTTGCTGCAGTTGTCACAAGTTTCTCAATACAGCTGGTCTGAAGATCCTTGAAATTTCAATCCCACAGGAGTAATGGGTCCTAGATATTGGACGCATTCTTTAAAATGGCATGTATGAGGTATCTTGATTCAAACATTGTTGCCCTATAGTGCAACGTTTCACCTACTTGAAGGTTATAGTTGAAGAGGTTTATAGATTAAATTGGAAACTGAGAAGCTATATATCGGCAAGCTTGACCACATTTATAAACAGTCACTAGATTTCCCTGTTGTTGATAGGGACTTTAACATCATAAACCGTAATTCCAGATAGATTTGGTGACTGCATCCTTCTGAACATCAACTAATGTAAGAAATCCTGACAATAGAGGTGGGCAATTTGATGGCAATTCCTGTCCACAGACATCTGAGATTGCACACTTGATGTAATGCTAAGTGTCACTATTTTAATGATTTTTTTAGAGACTGCAGAAAGAGACCCCAGTACCCGAATCAATAAACTTACATCTTCGAGTTCCTCTTGAAAAGGAAATTCCTGTCACCATTGTTCCAGAAAATAATAAGAGAGTGGATAGTGAAGATGAATTTCCTGAAATTACAGAGGTTAGTTGTTAAAGTAATTGTTAAAAATCTTAATGCCTTGGTGAAATAAGTACCTGAACAATAGTTTATAGAGTTGAACAATTGTTGTGATAAAGTTATTTTTAAGCTGTGTCTTTTCCTAACGCATCTCTGTGATAGCATGCTCTGTCCTGTTTTGAAATTCTCTATTTCACCAAAAGCTAGATTTTGGGGGATGGTATTTTAGCCTAATTTGATATTGCTGGTAGTTTTGTTTTCTGTGTTAAGTGTGACATTAAAATATATAGGAAGTAATCAAAACATTTCCAGACTTTTCCAAGAAAAAATTATTTGTAGAACATTATTATGTGAAATCTTTTTCAATATATAATAATCTTCCTGCTCCATACCCCCCCCTCCCAAACTTTGAGTCTGTCCAACCCATATATCTCTTCTGTGTTCTCACTCAGCATTTTGGCACTATCCTTCATAATGAAGTTTTTCATTAGGAGTCTGATTTTCAGGTTGAATTTAAGATGTCAGTGAAACCCAGTTCTCTTTCCTGTTAACGATTTATAGGAAATGGAGAAAGAAATAAAAAATGTATTACGAAGTGGAAACCAGGATGAAGTGTTGAGTGAAGCCTTCCGATTAACCATCACTCGGAAAGATATTCAGACTCTTAAGCATCTCAACTGGCTCAATGATGAGGTAAATCTTCAGTCTCCCTTTCAAACATAATTTTTAAACTCATGAATTGTGAGTTGTAAAGGCTTTTTGAGTCCATCCTCTACAGGTACCCTGAAGGGCAGCTGTCTAGCCATCATTCAAGTACATTCACCACTGCTCCAGATAATTGGATCTACTGTTTAACTGCTCTATTCTTACTGTTAGGAATTTTTCCATTAATGTTCAGATGAAATTTGCTTTTTAAAAATAACTTACATCCATTTTTTTCTCTGTTATGTAGTCTAGTGAGTTTTATACAGGTAGTACTCATGCTCATTTGTTCAGTGACTATTTGAAATTACAGAGACACTGAATGAATGGCACTTGCACCAATCTGCAAAGTTATGACAATTGCAGTGCCCTCCTCAGTCACATGACAAAATATGGGAGCTTGGCAGTCCGTCCATATTTAAAACTGCAGAAATTCTTCAACTTTTCCCATCCCTTGACTCCCTCCTCCATCTCTGCCATTTGGCCCGCTGTACTCTGCAGCTACTGCCTTCCTGTGTTCCATCATCCTTAGATGACCTTTGTCATCTTCTTGCTCCCACTGCTAATCAAGCAATCCTTGCCTGACCCTTTGAGAATCTTTCTTGAAATCATACATATTTTCTTCATGAGACGTTAAGAAGAAGAGTTTGTGTGGCAGCAACTGTCTTGCAAAGGGCCAGGCTGGGTGCACCTCATCAGCAGTAAGGTATTTCCTAAAAAGAGAAACACAATAACCAAGGGCAGGCCAAAAAAAAGTGCATTGGAGAAGAAGCAATTTCTGGTTTCCTTCTGGTTTCCCCATTGAATTTCCTTATGTTAATATGGCAGGGAGCATTGGAATCTTCCTTCTTTCCTTTCTTCCCCTTCCCTGCCGGCAAGTAAATGGCTGTTGCTGGATGAGGGAGAGAGTGAGGGGATTGAGACTGGCTGGGAAACTCATGACATAGATGAAAATGAAGATCACATGACACAGCTACAGCACAGCAGCAGTTGATAGCACTAAAGCACCTATAACTTTCCCAAATTTAATTACTTTAGGAGTCATGGGTCCTGGACTTTGGACACATTCTGTAAATTAGCCCATTAAAGGTTGGTTCAAAAATTGTTGCCCTATGATGCACTGTTTCACCCAGGGTCATGACAGAAGATTTTTAGTGGTATATACCTGTACATAGAAGCTTTTTAGGGATAGAGAAGAGCTGTTTGAAAAAAAATACCAAATACATGTATTTCTCTCACACACAGATTATTAATTTCTACATGAATATGCTGATGGAGAGGAGTAAACAGAAAGGCTTTCCAACCGTTCATGCATTTAACACATTTTTCTTCACCAAGTTAAAAACTGCTGGGTATTCAGCTGTAAAACGTTGGACTAAAAAAGTAGATATATTTTCTGTGGACATTCTATTGGTTCCTATTCACCTTGGTGTCCATTGGTGCCTAGCAGTGAGTATATTATGCATATTTGTGTAAATGTTCAAGTGAATTCACATCAGATCTTCCAAATGTTCCTTGTCTGTTCTAAATGCATTCTAAATTCTTTATGGTGGCTTTTCATTTTTTCATTTTTACTTTCCCAAATGCTTGCTTCTGAAACACTTTTCCATTCTGTTTGCTGCATTATGCCAAATGTGTCAAAAGTACATAGTTCTGCGTAAGATTATGCCAATGTCTTAATACAGAATTTTTTGCCTTGTTTAGGTTACTGACTTCAGGAAAAAAATCATCACCTACTACGATTCAATGGGTGGATCCAACAGTGAAGCTTGTAAGATACTCTTGTGAGTATCTCTTTTACATTAAATATGTTCATGTTTTCCTCATTATCTTAGGATTGATAGCAACAATCTTCATACCAAATGGTATTTGCTGTTATAACACTTGGGAATACTGAACTACCAGGGTATTTTCCAAAGAGACAGCTAAAAACGTGTGTGCTTCTGTAACATGAAAGATAGTTGGCACCTTCTGTAAAATCAATTCAAATAAATCTGATAAATTGCAGTCTTAAGTGTACTGTATTTTCATTTAAAAGTTCAGAAGGTTATATGAGAATAGAAAAATAAAAGGAATGTAACATATAAGGCAATTATAAAAAGAGAGTAATCATATTTGGTAATAAGGCCCTTAAAAATTCAGAATAACAGATTTGGAAGGGACCTTGAAGGTTTTCTAGTCCAACCTCCTGCTTAAGCAGGAGACCCTATACAATTCTGAACAAATGGCTGTCTCAAGATGATGGTGACTTAAAAATCTCCATCATTGGAGCACCCACAACTTCTGCAGGCAAACTGTTTCACTGGTTAATAGTTCCACTGTCAGGAAATTTCTTTTTAGTTCTAGATTGGATCACTCTTTGATAAGTTTCCATCCATTACATCTTGTCCTGATTTGAGAGGCAGGCTCTTGAATCTGAACATAATGGCAGATTTGAATTTTGAGAGCAACGTTCAGATTAATCCACACTTAAGTGGCTTTTCCATCTGGAAAGTGTATTGATCTTTTTATAGGCTTGGGCAGAAATGTTGTAATAGAGAATTAAAAGATATACACATCAAAGAATGTTGCTTGAGCATGAAGCTTTGAGACAAGAAAACTGCATCAAACCTGATCTGTTGTCTCTTCATTGGTATTAGCCAGTTCGTAACAAGTTTTGACTTTAAAGACATAAAAACTTATTAATTTATTGTATTTTTGTTTGTTTTTGTTTTGTTTTCAGTTTTTGTAAATTTTCTGAAAATTATATTACTAAGAGAAATTTATTAATAGCTCAAAGAATTTATTGTTTAAGTTATTTATTAGAATGTAGAACATAGAATAATATAGTTGGAAGGGACCTTGGAGGTGTTCTAGTCCAACCCTCTACTTGAGCAGGGAACCCTACATTATTTCAGATAAATGATTATGCCTCCAGTGGTGGAGCACCCACAACTTCTGGAGGCAAAATTTTATTTTGTCTTCAGAAATTCAAAATATTGCTTCAGTAAAGCATTTCAAGGTCCTCTGTGT